AGGACCGGGACCGATTGGAGGCGGCGAAAGGTGGAGGTCTAAGCACCATACTGAGACTGGGTCTCAAGTGTGGGGGCTTGGAGCTCAAGTTTGGACGGGGACCTGGACCCTTTGATAGGAGTGGAATAGGTTGGTCTTGTTTGTGCCTGGGGTACAAGCGAGGCGTGTGTTTGTGGTACCTAGCTAGGATACATTGGTTCGCATGAATCGTCAAGTTTTACGTGAGATGGTATGACTTGGCTATGATCTAATACCGTAGTAAGAACTAGAATATGAAAGATGATAAAATGATTATGATTGCTTACCACCTGTTTGAAAGTAGCATAGGTGCTTACATAGAATGGATAGTTAATGAACTAATGATGACTGCTAATAAAATTGAATATAAGGACCCACATTTAGTAATACTTTCTGCAGATGCAATAACCAGCAAGCCAAATAAGCCTTGCATATCCTTGGAGTCTTTTACTTTCCTCCTGTCGGGTAAGTCTTGCTGAGTACAATCGAGTACTCAGGGTTTTATTCCCCTGTTGTAGGTGACAGGTGGATGCTAGAGCTGACTCTTGTGTGTGGAAACCTCCTGGTGGGCTCAGAGAGGATTCCTTTCACGCTGCGATTGTAGTATTTATTTATAACCCTCACTAATAGTTTTATAAGAAAAGATATAACATCTGCTAGCATATCTTGTATATGAAAGGCCACTATGTTAATGCTTCACCATATCATTAAATTAATCTTTGTTTCCACTGTAACTCTGATCATATATTATTTTCCGCTGCAAGATAAAACTTGTGAACCTAAAATGTATAAACTCTTTTATATTTAAAATTGTCTTAATTCCGCTATTGCATTCAACTTGTTTAAGTACTCTAATGTTGTAATAAAGTGATGTAAGAAATGGTTAAAATGTTGTAAGCTTTATCCTCTCATTTATGATCCTGATGGAAAAATATAGATTTTTGAGTTCTCCCTTGGGGTGTGCTCGACGGAACAACACGATTTAGTGCACTCTCTTGGTTACTTAGTATCTAATGGAGGACAAGTACCCTTGAGAGTCTATTAGATTAGGCGGTTCTGCCACACTTCTAATGTCAGCGCAGCTTATGTCAGTTATCTATTAATGCTTTTGCTCATATTTCCAAGATTTCAGATATTGGAATGTGCAAGGTGTTGACATTGAGCTAGAAACCAGATGTATAGAAAGCGCAATAAAAAATGGATAAGAACAAAAGCTGAAAGATATATACAGAGTATGCATACTTGGTAGCACCCGATATAAAGCAGAAGCAGCATCAAAATGCAATTAGTGCAAGCTTCATTTCAAGATTTTCACTTTGCTAGTGAGAAACCTTCCACCACGGCCCTGTTTTCAAATGCTTTGCTTTAGCCCCAAACTACAAAAGGTAGTCATAGAGCAATCAATCAACAAGGACATCAAGTAATTATTTTTTTCATTTAGAATGAGAGGTTATTTAGTAACCAACACATTCTATCGTGAAGCGTCATCACAGTCTATTATTATCAATGCACAAGGGACAAAGCACCTTTCACAATCTATTATTGAGATAATTAAGTATACTAACCAAGAGGCACAAGACAAACTTACCAATGCAATAAATGGTGAGAACCAGTCACCTTTCATTTAGGATTTTTACTCCACTGGAAAATCCTCCACTGTCATCTTGGTTTTCAAAAGACAGATCCTGAATTTGCTTTAGTCTCCAAATGAGCCCTCTGTAAACATATTATATCTGTTCATCTTTGTTTTCTCCAATCTTTTGTTGTTTTTTTCCAGTACTGTGAACTGCAAGTATAGTTGATCCCTAGGTAGTACTGTGAATTGCATGCATATTGATCCCTAGGCAATAGCACACATAACAAATGAACTCAAACAACATTTAGATTATTAGGCACATAGGAAGGGAAGAGAAAGGGTGGACGTACCTGGAGGAGCAAACACAGACTGACGCGGCTGCCCGCGCCGAGCTGCGCCCGCAGGGGCCGCCGCCAGGGGACGCCCGTGCCAGGGTTGCCGGCGCCAGGGCTGCCAGCTCCAAGGGTCGTGGCCCCGGGGGCGCCCGTGCCGCGGCTGCCGCACCGTGTTGCGTGGTCGCGCCACCAGGGGCAGCTCGCGACGCAGCCGGAGCCGCGAAGCACAGGCAACTAGGATTTTGTGTAGCGCACGCGGACCAGCGGGAGAAGGTTGCGCCGGGGTGAAGTCGCTCCGGCAGCGACCGCCGGGGCCTGGTCGCACGGCGCGCCTGAGTGGGGGGGAGCAGGTCGGCCGCAGTGGCGCCCCGGTCACGCCGGTGGCCGTCGCCCTTGCCGCATCGTGAGGGAGGGAGAGAGAGCGGAGAGGAGAGAGGAGGGGAAGGAGATGCTGGGGAAGAAGCAGAAGTCCGATATATATTTGTCTCATTGGATTCGGACAAGAAGCCGGAGAAGCCAAAGGTAAGCAGTGGAGAAGCCGTAGAAGCTAGAGAAAACGACGAGAAGCCACTATCTGCAGAATCCGCTCCAACCATTTAGAACCACACAATTGGAGATCCGACGGCAGCAGGTTTTTGGGATGACGTGGAGTGGTGTTCTGTGAGGAGCCCTACGGGTATTCTCGGTGTTAATATAGTGTACGGTCAACTGTCCATGTGAGCAACTGAGCATGCATGTGGGCGTCGGTTGGCCAATCTGCGGCTTGCCCGCCGGAAACTCAAGGGAATCCGATCGCAACGTCGCAACAAATGCAACTCCACCGACACCATGCAGTTATCTCGCGCGCGCGAAGGCTGTGCATGCAATGTATGTGTTGTTACTCACTACTGTACATGACGATTCAGCAATCAGAGTGGCTTCGTTCTCACGGGTCACGGTCACGGCAGGGGACGACGCAGCGGCACTTCACCAATACCGCTAGTCCGCTAGCTATTAGCGTGTAGGAGTACTGATCAAGCATCGAGCACCGATATTTTAGCTAGTAGAGCACTACTAATTAATCATCAATGAGTTTTCTTTTAATTCCCCTGCCAATCGAAGACGAATTAGAGGCTACTGTAATGAACAACGGAGGTGTGTGTGTCCTGGGGATCAAGGCTCTCTCTAGGAGAGATTCCATTAACTTTGTGACGCTCAAGTAGCACCTAACAGTGAGTGGAGTTGTCTATGTTCACAAAACCCGGTCCTGTGTACACACACGTGCTGTCTCATCAAGTCTGACGAAGGAACGTACAGTTAGTGTTTGTGCTGCCGCAATATGTACTTGTTATACCGCTATTAGTAGCACTGCTGATCAACAATCAGCGTGGTCGTTTGGCTGGTTCATATCGTTGCTGGTTCGTGAAGAAGTACTGCTAGCTGATTTGTGTGAGAGAAAAATACTGTTCCGGCTGAAAATTTACGATCGTTTACGACAAGCCACAGCCAAACAAACAGGCTGAATGAGAGTTTGCTTTTAGTTCCAGTCGATCAAAGATTAATTAATTAGAGACTACTGTTATGCAGCTCTGTTCACTTGTCTATCAACCGTATTTTTTAGCTTATTTTTCAGTCGGAATAGTATTTTTTTCTCACAATAAATCAGCTAGAACAATCTTTTAATTTATTTTTTTAGCGAAGCAAACGGGGCCGTTCACAAATTAAACCCTGTGTACTCTACGTGGTGTCTCCTCAAGTCTGAGGAAGGAACGTGCGGTTCGTGTTTCTGCTACCACAACGTGTTTTTTTTTATATACTCCTACTGGTCGTGGTGCAAGCAAGTATAGGATTCGTCAAACAAGAATGCTGCATGCCGTGTGCCTCGTTCTTGCACGGTACCTTGTCCATAAATGCTCATGTCCTCCTCTTACTAGCCGTTGGTTGCCCTGATCGCAGCAGCATCGATCTCATGAACAGTGGCAGTCAAAAACCAAAGTTTTCAGTTGTGAGCTTACGCTAATTACGCATACAGGGGAGAGGGTTTTTTTTTTTTTTTAGGGTTGAGAAGGACAACCGACATGGAATTTCTCAGAGTTAGCGAAGGGTGCATAGGGGGGCAAGAGCAAGTCAGCCCTTTTAAAAAATTCTCTCATCCACTTCACTTGCTGACAAAACGATCGCACTCGGAATCACAAAAACAAAAGAAAACCGATCGAACGCACTCCAAAATAAAGCATGCATGCATATGCGCGATGCGACTCCATCGAATGCAGCATATAAACAAACAAATGTGCAGAAACAACAGCAACGCATGTACCTCTCGATGCACTTTTGGCTTGGCCACGCTTGCAGCTGCAGTCGCAACGACCCCCAGCTCAGCTCCTAGTCCTGGATGCACACAAAAACGTCAAACAGTAGGGGGAAGTAAACCTTCAGTTAGACGTTGTTGCATGTTGCATTCCTTTCAGTTTCAGACTGTTCCTTGCAGCTGCAGACTGCAGGTGGCCGAGATTTCCTCCTTCTTCTTTTCACCGTCTTGCCGTTCTGTTGCAAAAGGAGCCAGGCAACCAGCGCTAGTTAACCACAGCTGCACTCATTCGCTCGTCATCAATCAAAAAACACAAAAATATGGATCATTTGATCCTGTGTCTGTCATTTCAGGCCAGTTACGTGATGATGGATCGGAGCTGCTGCGTCGCGTGACGCGATAGCGATAATGGCGTCCGTCGTCACTCCCTCTCGTCTTCTTCAGCTTCACCCTCCCAAGACGGTAGCTACTACACCTCACACCCGCTCCCCATGACATGAGTGAATGAATGGAATGGAACTCTCCATCGACCTCGCCCCTGCCCTTGCGAGGTGGCAAGAGGGAATACATAAATACGGGGTGCACATGACCCACGGCCAGACCTTCCTCCTCCCTCCTCCCTCCTCCCTCCACCTCTCTCTAACTGCTACCTCTGCTCCGAGTAATTGCAGCCATCCGGAGCCTTTCGTTTCAGCTCGCTGGGCTCATACTCATTCACTCACCGGTCACTTCTGATCCATCCATCCATTCGTGCGCGCTGTGTCCGAGCCGAGTCCGGCGGGCGATGGGCAGGAAGGGAGGCCTGGCCTCCATCTTCTCCTCCTCAAGGCACTCCAAGCCCGGCACCGCCGCCGACGCACCCTCCCCCTCCCCGCCGTGGCCATGGCCATCGTGCGCGACCAAGCCGCAGACGGAGACCTTCCGCGGGCAGGGCAACGGCGGCGACGACGACCGGCCGTGCACCACGGCCGCCGCCAGCCGCCGCCGCTTCGACGAAGCAGCAGCAGCACCCGGCAGCGGCGGGTGGCTGCGGCCGCCGCGCGGGGCTGCAGCGCCGGGCGACGAGATGTACAAGACGGTCAACTCCGTCTACTTCGACCCCGCCGACTCCTGCCGCTTCTTCTTCGACGACGACGGCGGGGACGCGGCGGACGGCCTGGACGATGGCTCCACCACGACGGCGTCGGAGGAGTGGTCGGAGGCCGTCATCCGCAGCCTCGGCCGCACCTCCACCGACCGCTTCTTCTTCGACGCGGGCCCGGCGCCCGCGGCCGCGTCCAACTCCATCCTCGCCGCCTCACCGTCCCCGGGTCGGACACTGGCGCCGCCTCCACCACCGCCTGCTGAGGCGCCCACGCTGCTGCAGGCGGCGCTGCCGTCGTCCGCGGCGGGCGTGCTGCTCTCCGAGTCCGACGACGACGGGGCCAGCGAGGCCGAGACAGAGACCGAGGTGCCGTCGACGTCGTCGCTGGTGGAGGAGAGCGTGGCGGTGGCGCTGGACTCGGAGGACCCGTTCCGCGACTTCCGCGCGTCCATGCACGAGATGGTGGCCGCGCACGGCCTCCGCGACTGGCCCGCGCTGCAGGAGATGCTGCTTTGGTACCTCCGCATCAACGGCAAGCACAACCACGCGCTCATCGTCGGCGCCTTCGTCGACCTCCTCGTCGGCCTCGCCACGTCCAGCAGCACCAGCAGCAGCGCCTCTCCCTCCGCCACCACCACCGGAACCACGACCGCGACAATGACGACGACGACGACAGCGACCGCCTGCTGCTGCAGCAGCTCCAGTACTAGCAGCGGTGGCGGTGGCGCTACCAATACCACTACCGCGGCTGCAGCTGCAACTCCAACCATGGATGAGCAATGTGGAATAAGTGCCGGTGCGTCGTGCTCCTCTGCTGCTTCGTCTGATCTGGAAGAGGTGGCTGCTGCCGGAGACAGATCAAGTGATGGCCATTGCACAGGCGGAGATGCACTCGATTATTCTTATTCTTGATGCTCTGCTCGCATTGCTGTATACTTCGTTCGTACTACTCACAAGTTACTAGTAGTAGCTAGCAAGGTTTCGGATAAATCAGGAGCCAGCAAATACAAGTGTTCGATTTAGATCTGGAATGTGCGTCAATTTAATTCAGCATTCCACCGTGTCACCATGTATTACGAAACCACTACTTTTTGCTTCTTGTTATTTTTAGGTTATACGTACGCAATATTGGCTCTGTTTTGTCTCTGGTTTTTTTAGAGGTGTTTTGCCTTTAGTCCCGTTCGCGTGCCCTTAAACACGGTTTGATCCGTTTCTTTTTTCGTTCGGAACAGTGTTTTTTTCTCACAAATTCCTGCAGCATTTCTCCAAATCATTCAAATTCTTTCAGAATTCCTCCGAACGAAGTACAGTGGTACAGGTAGGAGGGATCTAGTGCACGACGCATTAATTGCAGCTTGTAACTGTGCGTGAAACGTATGAGTATGGGTCTCGTTCGCTTGTTTTATAATTTGTTTTTTCAGCTTGGTTTTTTAACCAAAACAGTATTTTTCTCTCACAACAGATGAGGCGGAACAGTGTTTCAGCTTGTTTTTTTTAGCGAAGCGAACGAAGCCATGGTTTGACACGCACTTTTAATTTCAAGTGACGGCTACAGTACTGTAGGTAGCTTAAACAACCACGCACGTACATAAATATATAATTGAACTTGTTGCTCATCCAGCCGCTATCCCACATGGTAATATGATTTAGGGCGTGTTTGTTTTCTATTAAAATTAGAGCTACGGTGACCCCACTGTAAAATCAAGAAAATCTCGCCAATATTATCCGAGACTCCTTTCCCTACAATATACAAAGGGATTGTGACCCCACCGCAAATTCAAAAAAATCTCGCCGAGTACCTTACGTTATCAGAGATTCTTTCACCAAGATAGACAAAGGGACTATGACCCTACCACAAAATCAAGAAAATCTCGCGAACCACCTTATATTATTGGAGATTCTTTTCACTGCAATAGACAAAAGGACCAGGACCCCACCACAAAATAAAGAAAATCTCGCCAAACACCTTATCTTATCGGAGATTCTTTTCTTGCGATAGACAAAGCGATCACGAGATTAAACTATAGCACTTACGTTTCCCGTGTCGCAGGATGAAGGCCACGATCACGATATTGTACCACGCAATCGCCATGTCGTGGTCCCAAACATGCCCTTAGCGTCTGGCCCATGGAGCAACATGTCAGCCCCACCTCTCATCTCCCGCATCTCCCTCATGTCCTTCTCCTCTCTCACACTGCGTGATAGCCGGTGTGCTCCACTACTATTCGCCGTTGCCGCCTCCCTTCACACCGCAGCTGCCAGCTACACCCTTGCCATTCTCACCGCCCACAGCCTTGTCGCTCGCGGCCGTGCCGCCCACACCCACAGTGGCGGGCTTACCTCGGATGAGCTCAATCCACACCACCACTGGGGACCCAAGCACCAAGCTAAAGACGACAAGGCTAGGTGCGGGCCTCATGGTCGGTGGCAAACACTACTACACAAACTTTACCGAGGCGGGCGTTTTTCGTTTTCCGCGGCGGGCAAAGCCGTCCGCCGCGCCTAGAGGCCACTGAGAATCGTGGCTTAACGCATGGCGGACGGATTGTAACGTGCCCGCCATGGTAATATATTTTTACCACGGCGGCACGTTAGGATGCCCGCTGCGGTTAATCATTTAAAAACAAAAAAAACCAGAGCCCGCCGGCGAGCCCGTTTCGAGCCCATTGGCGAGCCCACCGGCGACGGATCCGGACTTCCCACGGCCGCGCAGATCCGTGCCGCGGGAGGGGGAAGAGGAGCAAGCGGCCGGCCGGGCAGGCTCTGGAGAAGCCGGGCCGACACGCCGATGCCACTGCAGAGGCCGCCACCACCTCGCCGATCGTCGCGAGGGACCAGCCGACGCCCTCGCGGATCCCGTGCCTCTCGCCGGATCCCCGCCCTTGCCGTGGTGGGAGGGAGGCCCGGCGCGATGCGTCCTCGCCCGCCGTGGTGGAGGTCCCAGCGTCGTGGCGTGGTGGATCCGGCGTTAGGCTGGTGGAGATCCACTGCCGGATCCGGGCCGCTCCACCGCCAGATCCACGGAGGAGGAGGGTGCAGCCGCCAGATCCGTGGGGGAGGAGGTCGCCGCCGCCGGATCCGTGGAGGAAGAGGTCGTCGTCGCTGGATCTGGAGAGAGGAAGAGGGAGGAGTGAGGGAGATGGAGAGAGGAAGAGGGAGATGGAGAGGAAGAGGGAGATGAACTCACTGGATTTGAAACCCTAGCCCCACGCCGTCGTCGTTCATGGAGGATCCATGGGGGGGGAGGGCGCAGCCGTCGCCATCGTCCCCACAAGCTGCCGTCGCCTGCGCGCCTCGATCCGGCTGTTTGGAGGCCTCGCGGCCTGAGGAGGAGGCCATTGCACGCATCTTGGGAGAGTAGAGGGAGGCAGAGGGAGAGTGGGGGAAGCGGAGAGCTAAGAGATAGAGTGGGTGAGGCGGGGAGCTGACAGAGAGAGAGTGGGGGAGGCGGCGACGATGGTGCGAGGGATGTGGGTGATGTGTTTCAGTGAATCGATTTACCGTGGCGGACATTTTAGGATGCCCACCACGGTAAATCGATTTACCGTGGCGGACATTTTAGGATGCCCACCACGGTAAATCGATTTACCGTGGCGGACGTCTTAAGATGTCTGCCGCGGAAAATAGGGTATTTACCGTGGCGGACATTTTAGGATGCCCGCCACGGTAAATCGATTTACGTGGCGGACGTCTTAAGATGTCCGCCGCGAAAAATAGGGTATTTTCCATGGTGGACATCTTAAGACGTCCGCCACGGTAAATCGATTTACCGTGGCGGGCAAAAATGCCCGCCGTGGTAAATAAAAAATGCCCGCCTAGGTAAACCGTGGCATTTACCGTGACGGGCAAAAATAGGTGCCCGCCTCGGTGGCCTCCGGGGGGGTGTCGCGCAAAATCATTTGTGTAGTAGTGAAATAATGTGAGCGAAAGCAGAGGAGGGGTTCCTAGGTGCTTCAACGCCGTGGTTGTTGCCTAGACCACCGTCGGCGTACGTTGTGGCCGTCCCCTGCCCACGTGCAGCCTTGCCTCCCCACATCTAGTTAGGCCCTTCCTCTCCCCCTCCCCTCCCCATACTTGTGTGTTGTAGCTATATATGCCACCCCCTTCAGTGGGCAGCCGCCGCTTCCGCAAGGCGAGGCAACACCCTCTCACCGCACCCGGATGTGGCAGAACCACCCAACTTAACCTAATACCAAGTGTACTAGTCAGCCATTTGACGCTAAGTACGCAAGAGATCAAGTTAAACCCGGTAGTCTATCAAGTACACCCAATGGGAGAACTAAAAAATCCACGTTATCATCAGGATCATAAACAAGTGAATAAAGCTTACATCGTTTATTAACCATTTCATACATCACAAGATTACATAAAATCAGAGTTAAAACAGATTTCATACAAGCAGAAGAAGAAGGATTAATTTATACAAAAGCAGCGGAAGTAAACAATTTTGAATATTGAAGTAGGAGTAGAAATATATGAGAGTAAAACCACTACGATGGCAGCGAAAGGATTTCTCGCTGAGCCCACCAGGAGGTATCCACACATAACAGTCAGCTCCAGCATCCACTTGCTACCTGCAACATGGGGGAACAAAACCCTGAGTACACAATGTACTCCGCAAGGCTTACCCGACTAGGTGGGAGTAGTCTCCCGACTCTCAAGGATATGCAGAGGCTATTTGGCTAGCTGTTTAGTTCTTTTTGCAGAAAAGCATTACTAATAGTGCATCCTGGTATTCAAGGTTTTAGCAGTCACATCAAGTTTATTACTTAACCATTCTAGGTAAGCACCTAAACTACTTTCAAGCATGTGGTAAGCAATCAGAATATATTTTATCATCCGGCACAAGCCTCATCATCATCTTCATGTTCCAGTTACATTAACTACGATAGCAGTAGTGCGACAAGTGGTATCCATATCCGAGGAGGGCGGTGATTGCAATCGATGTACATCCAGCTGGGCAATCCCAAACACATGCCCGTACTTCTCTCAAAAGAGCATGTACAATGCAGCCATTCCAACCATACAACCAAGGCTTAAAATGACTTGACCACCCTAGGGAGCCCACCCTATAAGGCCCACCCGGCGAACCGACGACGGGTTTCCCCCTCATAAGTTTGGTTCATGGACATTCCCCTCCCAAAAACAGCCACTAGAATGGCTAGAGAAACACTTCGGTGAACGTTTTGCGCATCTTAGTCGTAAGAAAATACTAAGCTTCACAGTCAACTGTAACTCAAGCCCCTGTTATGTGTTTGGTACCTTCAAACTTGTCACAACGCCACTAACGAACAGTCCTTAATCAACACAGGCAGAAAAACGAGCGCCCAAAGCCTGGCTCTGCGGCACCCACCAACCATTCAGAAAAACCATTTTCCACTTCCTGCCCCGTGTCCAATTATTATCCAGCATCTCAAGTCCATGTGATAGTAGTAACAATATGACCATCACCTATTTCTCACGAGTGACCGTCCATCACTCGACTTCTACCGTAAGCCCTGTAGCATGGCATACTACACGATTTCTATCATACTAGTAGGACTTATAGGATAGAATATTTATGCAAGTGGGTTTCAAGAAACTCCTGTAACTTAATGCACAAACATAATAATAATAAGTGCAATAAAAAATAGGGATTATGCACCGGGGCTTGCTTGGGTAAACCATCATTACACTATGTTAGTATTCTTCCATCTTCAGGACATGATCAACATCCTCCACCTTCCGATGTGACCACCATTACATCATCTTCTGGTTTGACTTCATATAGTCCATTGATGGATCCATCAACCATCATCGTTCCAAAATGGTATGCATGAATGTAATGCATGCTTAAGTCAAACAAGCATAGCACAAAGATTACAAACACAAAAAGGACAAGCAACACATCGTCACGATGAAGGGTAACTAAA